TTGGCGTTTCAGGTGGGAAAAGCTGAGCTACGAAGAGAAAAGAGCAGCATATTGTGTTTTAGACTGGCCCGTTTAAAACCCATGTGATGTTCTGAGGACATATCCAGGAATTCAACATCATACAATTTCAGATCTAAGTCTGAGTGTCCAGAACACTTCATTTAGTCTCCACTGGCTCAGTGGGGCTAGGCTTTGGAACTGGGAGTCCACGGCTAATTTTTTTTACAGGAAAATTCATTTTATTTTGATGTATTTAATTGGCCAGATATTTTTAATGCCAATCATTTGTCAGGAAATATTTGCAAATATTTTTGAAGGGAACATTTTTTTCTCAACAATTACCTAGCAAATATGGTGAATGTAGATAGTCCATCTGGCAATTCCAGGCACCAACAATATTTTGTTTTCCTTTCTTTCCCAACTAGAATTTGTAGACTAAATTATTCTGTTGTCTCTTTCAGGCTGTATCTATCTCTGTGTGTAGAGTGGGAAGAGCTGTGTTGGGGTCTGAAACCATGGTTTCTTGGCCTGGTTAATTTAGGAGACAATGATGTGTAGCAGTTTGGATGGGGGTCTGCAGGGTACCTGCTGGGACTTCTAGGGTCTCAGAATAAAGAATTAGACCCGGGACACATGGTAGTGACAGAAACTGAGTTTACACTAAGGAAGAAAAGCAAGTTAGAGAGTGGAAATGAGCCCAAGTTGGATAAGGGTTACAAGGTCCCTGGCTCCTACGGTGGACAGTTATGACCTGTGGAGAGCACTCTTCCTGAGCATGCTCTTCCCCAGATGGTAGTCTTGTTGAGGAGGGTTTCCAGACTTTCCCTCTGTCCTTGTTTCCTTTCATATGTCAGTCTTGACCCAGACTCGGCAACTAAGACACTTGTAGCTTGTCGAGATGTCAGTTCACTGGTGGAGCCACACATGTGAAAATATGACATCACCAGGATCTCCCTCTACCACCCCCCTTGGGACCTCCAATGAAAGAATTTTGAGGCAATGTTGTTGTGATATTATTTATGATTTAATAAAGCTGGCCAGAAGGATCACAATGCAAAGCTAGCCACAACCATAGAAGCTGGGCAGTGGTGGCATACACCTTTAATCCCAGGACTCAGGAGACAGAAGCAGTTGGATCTCTTCAAGTTCAAGGCCACCCTGGGCTACACAAGAGTGAATCAATCTAAAAGATTAACAGAGCTCATGACTTTAATCCCAGCACTAGAGAGTATATAAGGAGCTCAGTGCAGTCTCAGAGGGCAGTCTAGGGTTCTGAGGCTTGGTGGAGAGCAGTGCAGTCTGGAGACGCAATCTGAGGTTCAATGGATCACCGCTTTGGTCTGAACATTAGTAGAGGTAAGAACCCTCTAGTGGTTGGCTGCCTTGCTTTTCTGATCTTCAGCTTGAACCCCAATATCTGTTTCTGGATTTTTATTATTCTGTTACACTATGCATAGCACAGTGTGGAGATGGTAGTATTTATTAGTTAAGTGGACCACTGTCAGAAGGGCAGCACACTGAAGGGTCACTCTGTGTTACACACACTTCCAAGTGGGGGGAGTAGACAATGGCCAAACAGACCATTGTGAGGACCTGTTACCCACATCTTAGGCAGGCTTTATCCTACTTCTAAATTCTCCAGAATAGACAGGTTTCCATGAAGGGGTTTCTTGTCCAGGTGATGACAGGCCCATGGATGAATTCTGGGAGACAATAGTATTTTCTTACTCTTTGTCAGGAAGCTTGCATCTAGACAGTGATTTTACCATCTTCTGAGTAGTTCAGAAAGCCATGCCTCTACCCGAGGCCAGAAAGTCCACTCAGGTTCCATTCTTTTGATCCATAGTCACAAGTCTGCCATATTTTTCGATATTTTTAAAATTTAAGTGAGAAACAACCTGTTTTGCATGTCAATCCCAGTTCCCTTTCCCTCCCCTCCTTCCCTGTCTCCCACCAACCCCCTATCCCATCCCTTTTCTGCTCCCTAGGGAGGGTGATGCCTTCTGTGGGGAAACTTTAAAGTTTGTCATATCATTTGGAGCAGGGCCTAGACCATCCCCCGAGTGTCTATGCAGAGAGAGTATCCCTCTGTGGAATGGGCTCCCAAAGCAAGTTAGAGAATGGAAATGAGCCCAAGTTGGATAAGGGCCACAAGGTCCCTGGCTCCTGCGATGGACAGTTATGGCCTGTGGAGAGCGCTCTTTCTGAGCATGCTCTTCCCCAGATAACACTGTTCCACTACCAGAGGCCTCATAGACTGATTACCCAGGCCTCCTAACTAACACCCACGTTAAGGGGGTCTGGGTCAGTCTTATGCTGGTTTCCCAGCTATCAGTCTGTGTCCATGAGCTCTCCCTAGTTCAGGTCATCTGTCTCTGTGGGTTTCTCCAGGCTGGTCTTGACCCCTTTGCTCATCACTTCTCCTTCTCTGCAACTGGATTCTTGGAGTTCTGCTCAGTGTTTAGCTGTGGGTTTCTGCTACTGCTTCTATCAGCTACTAGATGAAGGCTCTAGGATGGCATAAAAGGCAGTCATCAATCTCGCTATTGGGGAAGGGCATTGCTTAGATTGTTAGTTGGGATCATCCTTGTAGATCTCTGGACATTTCCCTAGTGCCAGATTTCTCTTTAAACCTATAATGAGTCCCTTTATTATGGTATCTCTTTTCTTGCTTTCCTCTATTCTTCCCCAGGAGGTTCAGCTGTTAAAGGCTAGGCTCACAATTTTTCTATTTTAGTGTTACATCTAACAGATGTTTTTACAAAGAAGGGGTGCATTCTTTCTTCCTTTCTTCCTTTCTTCTTCCTTTCTTCTTTCTTCCTTCTTTCTTCCTTCTTCCTTCTTTCTTCCTTCTTCCTTCCTTCTTCCTTCCTTCTTCCTTCCTCCTTCCTTCCTCCTGCCTTCCTTCCTCCTGCCTTCCTCCTTCCTGCCTTCCTCCTTCCTTCCTTCCTCCTTCCTCCCTTCCTTCTTCCTTCCTTCCTTCTTCCTTCCTTCCTTCCTTCCTCCTTCCTTCTTCCTTCCTTCCTTCCTTCCTCCTTTCTTCTTCCTTCCTTCCTTCTTCCTTCCTTCTTCCTTCCTTCCTCCTTCCTTCCTTTCTTCCTTCCTTCCTTTCTTCCTTCCTTCTTCCTTCCTTCCTTCTTCCTTCCTTTCTTCCTTTCTTTCTTCCTTTCTTCCTTTCTTGCTTGCTTGCTTGCTTTTTGAGGCAGAGTTTCTCTGTGTAGCTTTGGAGCCTGTTCTGGAACTAGCTCGTAGACCAGGCTGGTCTTGAACTCACAGAGATTCACCTGCCTCTGCCTCCTGAGTGCTGGGATTAGAAGGGGTGCATTCTTAAAGACTCCAAGTATCTAACCATCTACCTATTGAGGAGAGACAGAATGGCTACTCCAGCCTGCACTGCCAGTTGCCACAATGACTCAGACACAGGACACCATAATTCCCCCCTGGGCTCCACCCCTAAGTGCTGAAAGGAGCACCGGAGATCTGTGTTCAGGTCCAGCAGAAACACAAGAGCGTGAGCTGCAGATAACTGGGCGTTCTTCTCACGGATGTGGCAGCAACAGTGAGTTTCTTGGATAAAACCACTGTGTTTTATCCGGTAAGATTTTTATTCATGGCTTGAATAACAGCTATGCTTATCCTTTAATCTTGTCCACTGGCTTCTGTGGTGTGACAGTTGACTGCACTAGACTTTTCCTTTTGGGCCACCAACCAGCTCTCAGATCATGACACAGACTAGTTTTGAATGCTCAGTCTTAGCTCGTTTCTGGCTAGCTCTTATAACTTAACCTGTTTCTCATCTACCTTTGCCTCGGGGCTTATTACCTTTCTTCTGTATATCTTTCACTGCTTCTCTGTGTCTGTCTGTCTGGCGTCTGCCTGGCTTTTTGCCCTAGATGTGACCCTCACTCTCTTCTTTATTTCTCTCTTGTTCTTCTCTTGAGCCTAGATTTCTCCTATTTGTTCTTTCTGCGTGGAAGCCACACCCATCCCTCTCTCTGCTCAGCTCTTGGCTGTTCAGTTTTTATTAGACCAATCAGGTGGCTTAGGCAGGCAAGGGGGAAACACATTCAACACATCTTTTTATAGTTAAACAAATGCAGTACAAACAAAAGTAACACACCTTTGCACAGTTAAAGTAATATTCCACGGCATAAACAAATGTAACACATCTTTGCACAGTTAAAGTAATATTCTGCAACCTAAACAAATGTAACACATCTTTGCCTAGTTAAAATTACATTCTATAACAGTTGATCTTTGGTTTTGCATAGGTAGGTGCTTACTAATATTGAAGGAGGCCAGAGTTTGAGTTTGTGCCTGGTTATCTTAATTTCCCCCCAGGTGGAATCAGCTTCTATTGTATGGGAGCACCATGCATCTTAAGCTTGTAGGAAGAGAGTACTGGGTTTGGACACTCATTGTTTGTGCCATGTAGAGTGCAACATACATTTATTTATTTGGCGTGGGGTGGGAGTGTGTGCCACATCATATGTGTAGGCTGGAGTCAAGCACTCTCAATGTGTGTCCTGGGGATTGAACTCAGGTTATTCGTTTGGATGGTGAGCCTTTACCCACAGAGCCATCTCACTGACCCTCAAGACCTTTTCTTGTTCTTTTATGTTAATTTATGCTCTCAGCACCACTGGTCCTTGTTATAATGCAGTGCTGCCCAGTAGAAATAGTTTCCATCTATATTGTCTAGCACCATGCCTAACTCACAGGGAGCTGCTGGATGTGCACAATGCCCTGAGAAACTGGGTTTTGATCCATGAATTTGAACATCCCACCTGATGACACGGTGATGCTGTGCTGGATGGCACATCGAATCTGAATCAATGTGAGCGGTTGCACTGAGGTTTGGCTGGGTGTGTCTGTCCTGGGAAACCCTGGAAGCTTCCATGACTTGTTGCTTTGGCCTGGCTGCACACACACACTGTCTCAATATCCCTTCTTTGCTTCCATCACAGTTTTGATGGTTTGGACATTTTGATTCCTTCTAGGTTCAGCGAAATGAAGACAAGTCTACCACCTTGAAGCTGGCTGACTTTGGCCTGGCCAAACATGTGGTGAGGCCTATATTTACCGTGTGTGGGACGCCTACATATGTAGCTCCTGAAATTCTTTCTGAGAAAGGTAAGTGTTTCCCTTTGCTCTTTGGTACTTAAGCTCAGCAACCAACAAATGCCTTGCTTAAAAAACAAACAAACAAACAAATTTCAGAAAACTGAAACTCATGCTTGCTTTTAAAAAAAAGTATTTATTGTGTGTGGGTGTGTGTGTGTGTGTGTGTGTGTGTAGGCAGGACACTGAGATGACAAGTAAAGAACTGGGAGAGGAAATCTGCTCAGAGAAGGGCACACCAACTCAAACACTATAGACCCTCATCAGTGTAGAGACATCAGAATAGAGACATTAGCATAGACTATATCAATATAGAGACTTCAGTGTAGAGACTTCAGTATAGAGATATCGGTGTAGAGACATCAGAATAGAGACATTAGCATAGACTATATCAGTATAGAGACTTCAGTGTAGAGACTTCAGTATAGAGATATCAGTGTAGAGACATCAGTGTAGACTACATCTGTAACATCAGAATAGACATCAGTACAGAGACATCAGTACAGAGACATCAGTACAGAGACATCAATATAGAGACATTGGTATAGAGACTTTGGTATAGAGACATCAGTATAGATTACATACATATAGAGATATTAGTATATAGATAGATATCAGTATAGACCCATACTGTTGTCCTGTTGGTAAGGATGGGAAGTCCTAGATAAATGTGTCATGTTGGGACTCTAATCTGATGGCTAAACTGGTGAGCCAGTGGCTCTGCAGCAATCCCAGGGCAGGGACACTTAGCTTAGACAAGCCATGGGTCCTGTCTGCAGGAGGGAAAGCAGTCAGTAGAGGGCTGGGATTCGTGGAAGATGGAACTGGATTATGAAAAACAAGTTTCAGAGGCCTGGAGAGTTAACAGTGCGTGGGAACTGAACAGTCACCATTGAGCTGGTCCCAAAGGGGCCATCAGGGACTTCTTACTCACTTTAGTCGCTGATTGATTTGTGTCGTGGTAAGCCTGCTCCGAGGCTTAGTGATGATCTTCTAATGTCCATTTAAAGCTACCAGTTGTGTTCATTTCCTAAAGGTGAGAAGTCAGAAAGTGCTTGGAAATGTGCACACGCCCATTTGTGGGAGGGCCACAGGCGAGGTGCATAAACGCCCTAACTGGGCATCACTGTTCTAGTTCTATTCTGTTCCTGTGGCAAGCACCATGACCAAAAAAGCCACTTAAGCGAGGAATAGGCTGATTTCATCTTGCACTTCCAGATCCGTCAATCACTTAGGGAAGTCGGGGATGGGTGTACAAGGCAGGAACCCAAAGGCAGGCTGCTTGCTATTCCAACCAGGGAACTTACTCACAACCAGGGAATACAGTAGAAACCAAGGGAGAATGATGGTCGGTGGCCCGTTCACAGGTTCATGTTTAATTAGCTTTCTTATTGGATACAAGCCTAAGGATGCGGCTGCCCATAGTGGGCTTGGCCCTTTTACCTATATCGACTAATAGTCAAGACGATTCTCTATTGCTCACAGGCTCCCATTCAACTGGGACTCCCTTCCCAGGGGACTCTAGGCTATATAAAAGCAGACAGTTAACGTTAACTAGGACAATTACTTTGTACATTTTTGTCTCCAATAAGCTATGTTATATTATAATCAATTACCATATTTATTACTTTTCTTTTTGCTGTGACAAAATACCCAACAAAGGCAGAGTTTTTCGTTTGTGGTGTTGAGGTTGCACAGTTCAAGAGGTAGTTTATCACCTTTGACCTGCCTATATGGGGTTTCCTGTCTCTTTGATCTTGCAGGTTATGGTCTGGAGGTGGACATGTGGGCTGCAGGTGTGATCCTCTACATCCTCTTGTGTGGCTTCCCCCCTTTCAGAAGTCCTGACAGGGACCAGGATGAGCTCTTCAACATCATCCAACTGGGCCAGTTCGAGTTCCTGGCCCCATACTGGGACAACATCTCTGATGGTGAGATTTGAGGGTTCCCTGTGACGGGAAGGAGGGCTGTGGGCCTCTTCCTGTTCTTTCAGAGGGTGGCCTGGAAGGGTGTGGGTGAAGCTTGGAGTGGTGTGTCTACTGTCCACATGCATAGATGAAAGACTTGGATTCTCAGTTTAGATGTGGCCTTCCAGTCTGTGGATCCTCCTGGGATTTGGAAGGGGTGTGTTATATTAACTTGTCCTGGGAAAGGCATTGTCCTGAGCATGTCAGCAACATAGATAAACAAATATACTTGTGTCTCTTTCCAAAGGCAGAATTTATTGAGAAACATTATACTCACAAAGCAATTTTAGTGGTAGCAATTTGCCAGATTGGTAATTGGGCCAAGGTGAACACGGGTTCTTTTATTCCAGTCTTAATTATTAACTCTCATATCATATATCACAGAATAAACATGCACACACACACACATACACACACACACACAACCACATAGATAAAAAATGTTAAAAAGGGTTGCAGCAGAATTTCAAGAGGTTTCAGAAGCAGCAGATAAAAATGTAAGTAGACTCTATATTGATAAGATAAGGAGCCTAAATTAGAGACACTTGCAAGGCTGCCATTGTCAGGCTGTGTCACTCACTGCCATTGTCAGTCAGCCTGCTGTCACTCATTGGGTTTGAGAATGAAGTGGCAGCCTTCATGAAGTGTGGGCAAGAAGTTGAAGTAACTCTCCTGCTTTAGCTTAACCTGGTCTCTAATGCTCGGGGTTATGAGTGGTTGGAAGAGGTCTGGGAAGTTTCCATCTCCCATCTTTCTGTTGTGAACAAGGAAAGCTTGTTAGCATTCCACACACTGATGTGGGTTGTGGGCTCCCACTTCATGGCTCGGAAGGAAAGAACCCCACAAAGCCACCTCCATTCATCACTCTTTCCCCAATTTCCCCCCTCCCATAGCTGCCAAAGATCTGGTGAGACATTTGCTAGTGGTGGACCCCAAGAAGCGGTACACAGCCCGCCAGGTTCTTCAGCATCCCTGGATTGAGATGGCTGGACATCCCAGCACAGTGAACTCACAGAAGGACAAATCGCCCAGCAGTGAGGGGCTGTGCAACAGCCAGCACAAGAAGGTTGCAGAGGAGGTGTCTTAATTCTGTCTGTGTGGTCTAGCCAGCCCGCTCTCCCTGAGGACACAGAAAAGGTAGAAATCTGCAAGAAGACTGTGCAAGGCGCTTCTCCACAGACCAGAGAAAGAGAAGAGACACCTGGCGCATTTTAAAGAGTGTTTGAAAACGCAGGTCCTCGTGTTAAATGCTCTATACTTTTAGATTTGTGTATCTAAAGTCTTTAATACTTTTCGGGGAAGAATTGCCATGAATGAGGAATTTTGATAATAACAAGGAATCCTGTTTCCTCCTTGTAGTCGAGTTCACAGTGGGCTACAGGAGTGTGCTTTCCATTGCTTGAGCTCCTCCATGCAATGAACTGGTCAACCCTGGCTTTTCTTGCGCTCTAAAATATACCGGAGTAATAGAGCAAGAGTAGCCCCATTCAGTGGTGGGGAGAGATGGGAGCATAGTTCAACACAACTGTGTTTTAGCCCTTGACATTTGTGGTAAAATCTTGTTTTCATCTCAGAACAGCAAAAGAGACCAATTAAGTGTGCTTCTATGAGCTGAAATCCCACTAAAAAGAACACCACTTTTTTGGGGGAAGTGTCTGCAGGTCGACTGGTTAGAACTTTATGATTATGGAGAATTGGAATGTATAGACTGAGAGCCAAAAAATTATCTTGGGTTATTCATAGTCCTCTTAATAGTTGTGTATCACCCAACTGTGTATCTCACCTAAAAGATAAAGCTGTTAGAACGTATTAACTCAGCTAACTGCTAGCTTCTACTAATCCTGAAGTTAAGATGTTGTAAGAGCATCCAGAGCCTACAGAAAGACATCTCTGTTTTGCCACAAGTATTCCAACACCAGTATATTTGGTAAATTCATTGATTTGTGACTTGTTTTATTTGGTGATAATAATAATAATAAAAAAAAACCATGTAACCATTTCCACGATGGGATGCGTTATTTAGGGCATCCTGAATGCATGTTGCCAGGCCATGATCACTCACACTGTCTTAGAATAAATAATTTCTTGTTCTTTTTGGAGCAAGGGCTGTGTGTTTTGTGTTGACAGTTCTCATCCTACTTTACAGATGAAAAAATTGGACCTGGTTTGCCCAACATTATTTAATTTATAAAAAAAATCAGCTGTTCTTGTTCATAGGTTCTGTTCTTATTGCAATACTTTCACTGAGGAGTTGAATTGTGGATTCCTGCTAGGTAGAGGGAGAAGGAAAAATTGAGGAAGGTACTATCTTGTTCCCAGGAGGCACGGGCTATCCCTGAAGGTCTTTTAGTAGTTCTAGTACCCATGCTTTTTATGTCATGGAGATGGCTGGGCTGTGGTCTGTGATGTGGGCAGAGGAAGATAGTTATTCTCTTGCTCACCACAATTCCCATGCATCAGGTGGTGTGCACGTCTGTGTATGTACAGGCACACAGGTGTGTGGGGGCCCGAAGGCACCCTTGGGTGCTGCTCCTCAGGTGCCATACATCTTGTGTTTTGAGACACTGGCCTGGAAGTCACCAAACAGGATAGGCTGGCCAGTCAGTGAGCCCCAGATATCCACCAGTCACTGCCTCCCCAGCCCTGGGATTGCGTCATGCGCAGGTTTTACACGGGCTCTGGGTGTTGAGCTTAGGGTCTCATGATTGTAAGGTCAGTGCTTTACAGACCTCATCTCAGGTCACCTGTAGGAAATACACTGAATTCTGTGGTTGAAGCACCACTGGCCACAGCACAGATGCCCTGCTCTATTGTTTCTGCATCCCCATGGGGCTCAGTTCATCACTTTCCAGCTGTGGCCCCTGACTGGTCCTCACTTTTGTACTCATGAAGAAGAGAAGCAAGAAACATTTAAACAATACAAAACTAGAAGAGCATCCTTTCCCCCAAAGCGATCAGTGAGCCTGGTTCTGTTGGCAAACACCAAAGCCAAACCTTCATCCTCAAGAGGGGGACTCCTGTTGCTATGCCCTGGCTTCACAGTTCCCCTGAGGGGGAAATCGTCATCAGGAGACAACACAGGCTGAGCAAAGCCAGCAGAGTAGACTGCCTGGGATCAAGCGGGCTTTGGCTTTGCACCTGCCAGGTGGACACTTCGAACTGCATGGCCTGGCTCTCTCAGCCCCCTTAGTGATGCTCAAGGGCTGAACACTCGTTTCTGCTCAGCTTGGATGTCCCTTTGAAAAGAGGGCCATTTAATTCCTGAAAGGTGACCATACTTCCTGGCTTCATTCTCCCCTCCCCTCCCCCTCCCCTCCCCTCCCCTCCCCTCCCCTCCCTCCCCTGATGCAAAGTGTCCATACCTCGGGACCTGCTGCTAACACCAGACGCAGCTAGCTGCACTGAAGGTGGACATTTGACATACACAGCCAGGTGAAGGTTCTTTCCCAGAATTTGCCAACAGAGGTCCTAGCCTCTGTCTCTGTGGAAACCACATAAGCAATAGGGTACCTGGAGCTGGTACCTGAGCTACCGCTCAGGGTCATCCATATGACTCAGTCTCAGCCAACCACCCAACCAACCAACCAACCAACCAACCAACCAACCAACCTGAGTCTCTGGTTTATCTGTATCTCTGCCCACCTTCCTATCCTTGCTCCAGCTTCTTCTAGCTTCTGGGAGACCACGCCTTCCTGCCATAGTAGGTAGTCACATGATTTTCCTTAGCCAACGGGATTTGAGCACCTAAGTCAGTAGGTTTATTTGCCTGTTCACGTTGGCCCCATGCAGCCAACTGCCACAAAAAAAAAAAAGAGCATTCCCCGGGAATCCCTGGTTAAAGAAGACAGACCCATGGATGGACCGAAAGCTGGACCATATACAGGAACAGAGTGGCCCTACCTGACCTTCTGAACCACGGAGAACAACAGGTTCTAATTAAGAGCTGTGGAAACTTGGGGGTTGTTTGTCGTGAGATACAGCATAATCAACCCAAACCAGACCAATGGTGAGTCATGTACATACTCCCTTTAGAGGAAGAAAGGTCTAGCAACCCTTTTTTTGATGATTAATGATACGAGTAGTTTTCCCGCCAGCCTGGTCCCACTGCTGCGTCAGCCCCCAATAACACACAGAGACACTGTATTAGACAAAAAGCTGTTGGCCTGTTACTAGCATTTCTTATTGGCTAGCGCTGTCTTAAATATTAACCCATTTCTACCAATCTAAGTATTTCCATGTGGTCTTGGCTTATGGGAGAAAGGGTCCAGACCTTTTTTCTCTCTCAAATCTCTATATCTTGCATCTCCTACTACATCTCCCAGAATCCTCCTTGTCTACTAGTCCTGGCTATCTTGCTTTCCTACTTGCCAACAGTGCTTTATTCATTAACCAATAAGAGAAACATATTTACAGAATGACATCTCCCATCATAATGTAGATTGCCAATGACCAGAATCTGGACTCATCTGGAGACAGGTCTCTGGGCATTTCTGTGGGTAGATTGTCTCTACATTGATTGAGGTGGGCAGACCCACCCACTGTGGGCAGCAGTACTTCCCTGGTTGGGATCCTGGGATGTACACGTTGGAAAAGGAGACATGAGTGGCGGCACCCATCCTTCTGTTCTGACTGTGGGTGTGGAGTGAGCACCATGATGGCCTGTTCTGATGGGAGATGTCATTCTGTAAATGTTTCTCATGCTGGTTAATGAATAAAACACTGTTGGCCAATAGGAAAGGAAGATAGGAGGGACTAGGAGACAAGGAGGAAAGAGGAAGTAGTAAGGAGGGGTCAAGATGGAGAGCCTGGAGGAGGCAGAACCACCAGCCGCCTCTCCCAGGTAAGATAAGACCACGTGGAAATACATAGAAATGGGTTAATACTTAAGACAGAGCTAGCTGATAAACTAGTAACGGGCCAACAGAATTATATCAAATACAGAGTCTCTATGTGTTAATTGGGGCTGGCGCAGCGGTGGGACAAAACCAGGTGGCGGAGGAAAAACCCTACTCATTACACTGTTCCTTGAACTGGAAATGAAAAGGGCCTGTTTTCACTTAAGTTGCTTTTTTTTTTTTTTTTTTCCAGCAAAGGAATGTATTCACCGGTGAAGAGGGATCCTGGCTCCATCTTTACAGGACCTGCCTGGACTGCTATGCTGGAAGGGTCCCAGGAAGATAGATGAGCAGAGACACTGGGGAACTGGGGAGTAGCCATGTGGGAAGAGGCCTCCCTGGCTTGAGGATCTGCAGCTAGCCAGTCTCGATGCCCTCAGGGAGCTCCACCACCACTGGGGCACAATCCTCCGGCTCCGAAGCAGAATCCCACCGGAACTTCTTAGTCAGGTGGGCTTGGAACTTTTCCGCTTTCTTCCTCAGGGTGGCATCCACAGCAATACTTCAGAAGCCACGCAGAGACGATGGTAGAACCAGGTCGAGTGAGGATAAGGTCTCTGGTCCCCAAGCTCACATAGCCTCACGCTCCACGGAACCACTTAAGTTGCTTTTATTAGGGTAATCTTTTTTATGATGCAATAGGAAAAGGAACCAAGACTTTCTCTATATGGACTTCATCTATCCATCTATTCATCCACCCACCAAATAGCAGTGTGTGTGTGTGTGTGTGTGTGTGTGTGTGTGTGTGTGTGAGAGAGAGAGAGAGAGAGAGAGAGACATTGACAGAGACAGAGAGCAACACACACAGAAATAGAGGGAGAGAGACAGAGACTGTTGTATGTTTTCTGGAAAGATATGAACAAGATACAACTCCAATGGAAAACCAGAGAAGTGATTCTACCCAAGTTGAGCTTGGTGATCAGTTAGCTTGTTGGGGCTCTTCATAGGAACACAGATGAAGAGTTACTTGTAGGAGAGTGGGTGATGCAGGCAGCTGCATCTCTGAGGAGCCCACCCCAGCATAAGTGATAAGCTGGAGTTCCCAGCTTAAGTTTCAGGCAGCTCCCCTGAAGAGTTTACCTCTAACCTCTGTTGTCTACTGCTGGATACATAACGTTACATTTTAGATACTTACACTCCTGAGTCTTGTAACTTCAGTAATGTTCTGAGCCTTGGAAGTTTCATTAGATTGAGTCTTCATTTTGAACCCACCTCCTCCCTCTAGGGGGATTGTTTCAATGCAGAGGGGATGGCTTCACAATAGTTAGAGAGACAGAAACATAGGTACTTACAGAGCCAGAGAAACAGGGGAACAAACTAGAAGGAATAAAACCATTTCATACACAGCAAACGTATGTTAAACATTAAACTGCAACATTAAACA